TATGAACAAGAGAGAAGAAGTAATATGTATATATGATTATCTTCTTCTCTTAAATACTTAAGTCACCAGGACGTATTTTTATAAAAAATATATATCAATAAACAAAAAAAAAAGTAAACTTTATATATCAAAGTACTGTATCTTGAATCCAATTTAATGTAAATTGAAAAATTTTTTCTCTCTCGGGTTCATTGTGTAATTCATGATAACAATTTGGCCAACTTTTAAACTGAATATTTGTTCCTCGATCAGCAAATTTTGAGCTGGCTTTATGACTTGTTAATGAATCAGCGTTACCATGTTGAATTAAAACAGGTATATGAAATTTACATGCTGTTCGATCGAGTTTTGTTGCCATAGTACCCATACGATGTGCAATAGATAATGTTGCCGATCGACGTATAAGAGGATCTTCATTATAAGCATCAACAATATTTTCATCACGTGTAATACTACGAGCATTAAAACGAAGTGGAACTTTTAATGTTGGATTCAGTCGACATAGTGTTCGTATTAATGCATTTATTGGACGAGGTGGTTGAAGTAGTCGAGCTAAACGAATCCAAGGACCTGTAACAATAACAGCTTGATATGGACAATCATCTGATGCATCGGGATATCGATGAAGTGTATAAGATAATGCTAAATTTCCACCCATTGAATGTCCATAAAGTATAGCTGGACATGTTGGATATCGATATCGTGCTTCTTCAATTAATAAATCAATATCTCCAAACATTGAATGACTTTTTGGTATAAAAACATGTTCACCTTCACTTAGACCATGACCACGAAGATCCATTGTAACAACAGCTATATCATTTTCATTATAAAAATGTGCTACATGTTCATATCGTCCACTATATTCTGCTACACCATGTATAAGAATAATTACAGCCGATGGTGAATTTGGATTTTCATAAGATTGCCAATCAAAACCAGAAAGTCGAAGGCCATCATGAGATACTAACTCAAATTCTCCCATATTGCAAAATGCTGCTTGATAAGTTTGATAAATTTACACGCTAATAGTAAGCGTTACTTTATCATACCTCTATATTTTGTTTCATATATAGATATTTATTTACCTGCAATTTCGTAAGAAAAAAAGCTGAAGCGTAAAAAAGTATGACATATATAAGGGACGGTAAAAAAATTACTCAACGTGGGCAAATCATGATCAGAACGTCATTCAACCGCAACAACTATTTTATTTTATTCATTATCGTTTAGTCTGGACTTTTTATTACTTATTATAATGTCTTATCAATCACATAAATACAATAGATGTATATTCAAACACTAGTCACCTGATTTTGCTTTCTTATTACTCTCAAGTTTTATATCATATACCTTTTCTCACATCATCAAGTCTAATTTTCATTAATGACTTCACTTAATTTTTCAATATTTTATATGAGTTGTTACGCTCGAATGATATGCAAGTTATTAATAATGTATATCAATCTATATAGCTGGGAAGTGTGTTTGACTTCGTTCCGACGTCAAACTATAGTATAAATATGTTCATTTAATGAAAGAGAAAAACAAAGACATTATTCCGAGTATTGAGATTTTCTTTATTTGAATTGTTCTCAGACAGAAAAACTGTTGTACAAAAAAACAAAAAAATATTTTCATTTTATTAATTCTCTTATATTATTTCCTGAATTGTTTTTTAAATCAATGCATATGTAGAAAAAACAGAAAGTCGTCAAAAATTAAATTCACCAGCCAATATCCTATATATCGTATTTTTTTTAAATAGAAAAAAAGAAAAATTTGATTAGTCTTTTCATAATCATTCAAATAATGAAAAAAGAAAGAAGAAGATTAACATTCAATTTAAAGTATTCATCGTTTTTTTTTAAATCTCCTCATGGCTTTTTCTTTTTTTTTTTATATAACAATTCTTTTATGCCACGATTATGAGAATACAGTAAATAATAAGCACAGAAAAAGAAAACAACTACAAGTAATAGACAAAAACACAAAACAATGACATAGAACTTTATATATTCTCACCGAACGAAACAGGTGTACATATGTTGTCATCCAACGACAGTCTATTTCGTACGAATGAAAAGAGAAGAAGGATGTGAATAGAACAAAACCGGTTTTAATTGACATTCATCATTTTAATAAGGTGAATAAAAATAACTTGATCGACCACGACCACTAATGAAATGAAAAGAAAAAATATATAATTTTAAAATATGAAAACTTTTTCATACCGAAAAAACGGTCGAGCAATACGACCACGATAAGGTGCAGATACATAAGGCATATAAGCACCACCACGAGGAAATCGACCACGTCCAAACCCACGAATTGCACCACGTGGCGGTCGATCAGTTGTTGATACACCAGGTCGATTTGTTCGTTTTTCAGTGACCTGAATATTATAATAATTAGTATAATAATATTCGATTAAGGTGTATATAATTACTTTAATCTGACGTCCTTTAAACAATGAGTCATCAAGAGCAAGTGCAGTCTGTACAGAATCCTTATCGGAGAATTCAACATAAGCAAAACTAAAATTAAAAAAAATATATATATCTCCTATTGTCATTTCGATTTTCTTTTATTCTCTAATTATAAAGTTTCTCAGAAGAATGTAACTATGGTCAATCCTTGGAAAGGTAAGAATTCTATTTATTTCATACCCTTTTGGTTGCCCAGTAAATTTATCACATAAAATAGTAACTCTATGAATAGAACCACAGCCATGAAAATGATTTTCTAGTTCTTGTGCTGTTGCTGAATAATCAACCTATAGAAAATCAAACATTTGTTCAAAAATGATTACTACAAATTCTTTTTTGTTTTCAACATACATTTCCAACATAAACTGATCGTAAATCAGCTTCCATTTTTTCTTCGATGGTTGGAAATGGAGCTAATTAAAATAAAATTAGCATTAAAATTAAATATAAAAAGAGCAAACTTACGTGTTCCTGGTGTACCAGGTAATTGCATTTGTTTTTCAACTTCAAGTTGCATTTGTTTTAATTTTTCAGCTTCTTCTTCCATTTCTCTTATACGTTTACGCATTGTATCAAGATCAGCTTCATCACCCATTTCTGATGTATCCAAAAGTGAATCTGAAACATTTTCTTGACCATCTGGACTTAGTGTATTATCAATATTGGATGAAATACCATTATTACTATTATGTATAGTTGAATCCATGTTGATTAATTTCTCGATAAGAATAAATATCTGGAAAAAAAGCGAAAATATGTAACAAATAATTGGAATAAAGAATGAAGAATAAACAAAAATGAATAGAAATGAAATGAAATGAACATTTAGTTCTTTGTCATGATTGGTTTGGTTGAATTTTATTTGTATTTTATTAGATTTTATGAAACGTTTTTTATCGATTGATTTTCTTTTTATTTTATATTATTAAAGTTAAATAAATTTTATTTTTATTTAACAGATGTCACCCATTACGAAATGATTGGACAGTAACTTCACCAAGGTGAACAACTATCGCAGTACACACCTACTACCTTTCGTTACTCCCTAATAGACACAACTGAATGAAGGGAAGCTTCATCATAATTTTTTAATTAAAAATATCCTGTTAGAGAAGATGATCTTCTATTTCCGTATATGTATATACCTATAGTTCACATAATACAAATTTTATCTTGATTACATATCAGTAATAGACCTAATATTATTTCTTTTTAGATAAGAGATTCTCATGTTTGATTTTATAACCCGTCGTCGTCTTATTATTTTTCTTGCTGCCATTTTATTTGTTACAATAAGTATTTTATTTATTGTTCATATACGTTCAACAACAATCAGTCAAATTATACCATCGTTTACACCAACATCTTCATCAATAAATTCAACCGATGAAGAAAAATCAACAGATAAATGTTATCTTAATGAACCATTTGATGTTTTAACATCATGTCGAAGATGTCGATCTTATGAACAACGTGCACACGCTACTGATTGTTTGCCTACAGGTTATCGAGAATTTGTATTTTGTTCAAAATCAAACATTAAAGTTTACCGTCCATGTGCAATACCTATTCGTATACAGAAAGAACGTTTTTGGTATTTCGAAGGTATTGTTTTTATTATTGCCTTGTTATCGACAACAAGTGTTTATTTACGTCAAAAATCATTAAATAAACAAATGGTAGAAAAAATCAAACGACAGATTGAAATAAGTGAGGAATGAATCAGTTGTATACATCGTTATTTATACGCTTGATCGCGTATGTACTTTTTTCTTCTTCTTCCAATGATACGGTGAATTTGTTTTCTTATAATTGATAAAGCACACGTGATATTTTACAGTCGAAAGATTGACTAACCAAATTTTTCATATCTCATAATCATATATGTGATAAAACTTATTATGTAATATTAGTTTTAAATGTAATCTTTTATCTTATTGTAAACTATGCCTACTAATAAGTTATCATAACAAATTTATATTTATCTTCTTCTTCTTTTTTTTTGTATGTGTATTTTTCTTATCTAATCTCATTGAAATAGTGAAAATGTACTCGTTTTGTTCTTATTATAATATTTTGAATTTTTTAATATGCATTTATAGATTTATTTCAAATTATACTGTGATATATACCTATAAATCATCCCGATACATTTAATAATCACAAAAAGTGAGTATATTTAACTATAAATTGAATAGAATTTATTAGAAACTTTTTTTTATAGTTGTGATTTTCAAATAATGTACAGTTTATCATTTGCATTTCTATTTATTCTTATCTCTGTCTGCAATACAGTACCTACTAAGTCATCTAATGGCTGTGGTTACGATGTAATATTAGTTTGAATTTACTCATATATATGAAATATGATTTTTTACTTTAGGCATGTAATTTAGGTGATCCAAATAAACTTAATGTTCATATAGTTCCACATACACATGATGATGTTGGATGGTTAAAAACCGTTGATCAATATTATTATGGAGGTATGTATTTACGAAATTTTGTGTTAATATTTAAATAAAATATTTAGCTCGAAATAATATTCAACATGCTGGTGTACAATATATTCTCGATTCAGTTATGCATTCACTTGAAGAAAATCCTGATCGACGTTTTATGTATGTTGAAATCGCTTTTTTCTGGCGCTGGTGGAATGAACAAACAGATGAAATGCGTAATAAAGTAAAACAATTTGTTAATGAAGGTAAATTATTTATATTTAGTTTTAAAAATGAATATTAAAGAGTATGATATATATCTATAGGTCGTTTGGAATTTATATCTGGTGGTTGGTGTATGAATGATGAAGCATCAACACATTACAATTCCATCATTGATCAATTTAGTTTAGGAGCAGAATTTTTACGAGATCAATTTGGTGAATGTGCTCGACCAAAAATTGGTTGGCAAATTGATCCATTTGGTCATTCACGTGAACATGCTTCAATTCTTGCACAAGTAATTTTATTCATTAATTACTTCTACTAGATAAAAAAACATATTTGTTATTTTTTTACAGATGGGTTTTGATGGTTTATTTTTTGGTCGCGCTGATTATGAAGATATTACACAACGTAGTAAAACTAAAAATATGGAATTAATTTGGAAAGCTAGTGCTAATTTAGGTAATTATAGAGTTGCATATAGAAATTCGTTTAAAAGAAAATATCTTGTAAACATTTATAGACCGTCAGAGTTGGTTATTAACCGGTGTTTTACCCAATGGATATTCTGCTCCGGGTTCATTCTGTTTTGATCTCTTTTGTGATGATCAACCTATTATGGTTAGTGAATGAAATTTCTATATCACAACTTCCTTGCTTTTCTTTGAATACGCACGCATGTCTTTCACTTATAGATAATGCATGACTTTTCACTCGTTTACTTAATACCTACTCACCACTGAACGGTTTTTGTGATGATGAATCTGTTATGGTGTGATGCTTATTTCTTTGCTCAGATTAAAAATAATATTAACTCAACTGTATGTGCAAATCTTTTCTTGTTTTTTTAGGATGATCCTCATTTACATGATTATAATGTTCCGGAACGTGTTAAAGCATTTCTTGATGCAGCTCATAATGAAGTTCGTTGTATTAATAACTAAATAATTGTAAAATTTTCGTTTTTTAACTCTTAGGCTAATCAATATTCAACAAATCATATTATAATGACAATGGGTAGTGATTTTCAATATGAAAGTGCTAATCAATGGTTTAAAAATATGGATAAATTGATGAAATATGTTAATGCTCAAGTATGTAAATCAAATTTATTTTTAAATATTTAAACTATTGTTTTAATTAATAGCAAACTAATGGTAGTAATGTAAATGTATTCTATTCAACTCCATCATGTTATTTATATGCATTGAATAAAGCGAATCATTCTTGGACATCAAAAACCGATGATTTTTTTCCATATGCTCATCATCCACATGGATTTTGGACAGGTTATTTTACATCACGAGCAGCACTTAAAGGTTATGAACGTCGTTCAAATAATGTTTTACAAGTCACTCGACAATTGAATGCATTTGCAAAAACTAATCTACGAAATAGTACTTTTCCTTTAAGTAGGATATTAATCTGAAAAGAAAATGAATTATATTCTTTTAAATTCAGGTGAAGCAATGGGTCTTGTACAACATCATGATGCAGTTAGTGGTACAGAAAAACAAGAAGTTGCTTTTGATTATGCTCAACGATTAGCAGATGGTATTGATTCAGCAGTTGTAAGTTATGAAATATTTATATGTTTTTAAAAATTTTAATCAACTTTTCAGGATGTTATTAATCGAGCTTATAGTAAACTTTTACCTCTCGATGAAAAAATCCCGCCAAAGGCACCACAATTTCTTTGTCAATTAACAAATATTAGTGAATGTTTACCAATTGAAGGAAAAAATCAGGTTCATATATAATTATTAAACTTTTTTTTTGTATCTTATTTTGAATAGTTTACTTTAACACTTTGGAATCCAACTGTACATACGATTTCTCAACATATTCATGTACCTGTTACAAAAAAATATTCCATTCGTGATTCAACAGGACATGTTATTTCAGCTGATGTATTACATCGAAAAAAAGAATTTCGTTCATTTCATTAATTTCTTTCTTTTAGTTTATTCCGATTTCGGAACCAACAAAAAATATTCCTGGTCGAAAAAGTTTTGCAACAAATCAACTTGTTTTTAAAGTTATTTTACCAGCACTTGGTTTTAATACATATTATTTCGAATTGAAAAGTATTTAGTAATTTATTTAAACTATAAAAAATAATATTTTTTGTCTTTCTAGCGGGTAATGAAGATATATCAATTACACAAAATGAAGAATGTATTTTACAAAATGAAGTAATAATAATCATAGGAATTATAGATGGAAAGTCTTTTTATTTTAGTATCTTCGAGTTGAATTTGATGATCAAGGAAATTTACTTAAGATTAAAAATTTAAAAAAGAATATTGTTGTACCATTTACTTCTCAAGGTTTTTATTGGTATTCAAGTAAGTTAATAAATACATATATATTAAGTTAATATATTTAATAATGAAAACTAGGTTTTCCTGGCAATAATTCGCAATCAGAATTTCAAGCATCCGGTGCATATATATTTCGACCTATTTCATCAGATCCTCAACCAGTGAGTGATAAACGTACAATGTAAGTATATTTATTCGCTCTTCTATTTATTAATTTTTTTGTTATTTTAATTAGAACATGTATCAAAGGAGAGATTGTTCAAAAAGCTGTAATTGTTTTTAATAAGTGGACTAGTCAAGAAATAAGTTTATATGATGATTCAAAAGGTGTTGAAGTCGAATGGACAGTTGGACCTATTCCAATTTGTGATAAAGTTGGTAAAGAAATTATTCTTCGCTATGATACAGATATTGAAAATCAAGGAAAGTTTTATACTGATTCAAATGGACGTGAAGTTCTTGAACGTATTCGAGATTATCGTCCAACATGGAATTATACAAAAGTTGAAGATGTTAGTGGAAATTATTATCCAGTTAATAGTCGAATATGGATTAAAGAACCAAATCGTCAATTTACTGTTCTTACTGGTAACAAAAAATACAAAATAAAAGAACATTTAATATTTTCTTTTCTTAGATCGATCCGAAGGTGGTAGTAGTATACATGATGGTTCAATTGAACTTATGTTACATCGTCGTACACTTTATGATGATGCATTAGGTGTTGGTGAACCAATAAATGAAACTGCTTATGATCAAGGTCTTGTTGTTCGTGGTAAACATTTCTTAATTATTGAATCACCTAGTTCAAGTGCTCTTTATCATCGAGTTGCTTCTCAACGATTATATATGCGTCCACTTGCTACTTATTCATTACCACAATTATCTTATGCTGATTATTCAGAAACATATCGTCAAACATGGTCAGCATTAGTAAAAGATTTACCATTGAATATACATTTATTAACATTTGAACAATTGGATACAAATCAATATCTTGTTCGTATTGAACATTATTTTGAATTAAATGAAGATACTACATATTCAAATTCAGTAACATTTGATTTACAAAAATTATTTCAAACACATGGTATTATAAATGGTATTGTTGAATTAACATTAGCTGGTAATATGCCAGTAAATGATATGAACCGACTTGAATGGACAACTATTGATAAAGAATCATCGAAAATGGATAAACCAAGTAGATTTTTTTCAAATATTAATCTTCATTCAAAAACGTTTTTTGTTTTGTTTTAGAAACGATGTCAGTAAATGATTTGAATATTGTTCTTAATCCAATGCAAATTCGAACATTCCGTGTTACAGTTGAATAAATGATACATTCAATAAACAACACAAAACAGACATCTTATCATACTTAATTTCGCTCTTCTTTTCACTTCGCTTATTATCTCTAACTTATATGTTTATTCCAAATCTTAGACAGAATAAATAAAACTAGCTTTACATTAAATTGATTGATTATTAGTGATCTGTGGGACAAAAATTAACACATCTTCGCTGTAACACCAATAAGCTAAAATACATGCATTCCCGTGATTGTTGGATAAATCAACATTTCGCTCAATAGTTCAAATAAAAAATAGAAAAAAATTAAAGTCTAAGACATATTTTAGTCTACCGATGAAATAGAGACTCGGGACAAGTTCCGATTGTCCCGCGGGACAGGACATTCGGGATTCGAAACTGTCTCACAGGACTCTATTGATTATGCATATTTAATTTCCTACATGCAAAGACTAATATTGAACAAGTAATGTCTGGCTCTGTTTCGTAGAAACGATGTGTCTTCACTACCAGCAAACTATTTATTCAAACAATTTCAAATAACCGACTTCAGATTTGAGTTCCTTGTTCTAGATTAGCATTGATTAAACTTTAAAAATAACTTCTCCTACGTGTAAAAAAATTTCTTCTTACTAGTACTTTTATACAATATTATTTCGCAGATTAATATATTAACTATATACGACCGGGATCAATTAAATAGTAATTTAAAGATAATGAAAGATACTATAACATTTCAATACGCAGAGACATAAATTCGAAAATTTCTGAGTGTGTATAATTGTCGCACTTGTGAAAAGTTTCAAATGAGACAGATTAATCAATCCATATGATATTTTAGGTCATCGCTATACTAATTGATAGTCTTCTGTTAATTTTACGCATCAAAAAAAAACATCGAATCAATTGGTAAATGTCATTGAATACTAATGTGATATGAATAATGCATAATTTATACAATAGTAATAGATGAGTTCATCTATTAATATGATACTATAATTCTCTTTATTTGACTTTACATTCAAAAGATTAACAAAAGTCCTCTCTTTTTGCTTTAATAATGATGAGTTTTACTGATAACAATAAAGAGACCAATAGTTAAATAAATAAAAAGAGCAATTACAAATGTTGCCATTGACCATGATAATGAACGGTTTGAATGTATTAATGCTTGTTCATAATAACCATTACGTTCACAATATAAAGCTTTCATAGCATAAAAAACTGCAATAATACCTAATAGAAATATATATATAAGACAATTTTGAATTTATTTCTCGAATTCTCAGCTTACCAGTAACAAAAAATAATACAGTTGAAAGAATTGCACAAAGAAGATGTCGTATAGGATGAGCTTTTTTATTTGTTAATAATTCTGATGAACTTTTACCAGGCTCTTCTGAATAAATAAAATCAATGATTATGATAACAGACAAAAATTTATCTTACCGAAAAAAGTACTACCACGTTCATTAGTTATCGATCGACAAGATGATTCCCATCGACATGCGGATAATTTTCGTTGAGCATGAAATGCTGAACATGCTTGAGATGAAATCATAGTAATTTTTAAATAAGAAACTGACTCATTTGTTCTATAAGAATCTCGAAATCAATCATTACACAAAGTATTATATCATTGATCTAGTACGATATAACGAGAGGAAAAAAAATTCTTTGAATAGAACGTATGAAAAATTTTTAATCGATTATTTTAAGTATATGAGTCTTTTCATGTAAATCTTTCATAATAAAAAAAAAGAAGAAGAAGAAGAAAAGCTAGAATGCGCACATAACATTTCTTTGTGAAAATAAACATTCATTCTGGTTTTGATTGGCATCTTGAGAGTGTTTTATATGAAAAACTCAAGTATTATATTTATAGATTATTCTTCTCATCGAAAGTCAATATGTATTTGAAAGAGAAAAAAAATTAGTTTTGTCTTGCAAATGATATTGATCATAAAATCGATTACTATGTTAATTTTCTATAGGAATAAAGATGAATGCAACCCAAGAACAATAGATATTTATAAGCATGTGCCTACAGGCATGCAACATTAATATTCAATATGATTGATACTAACGGGTACATACAGATTTTTTTTTTGTAATCCATTAGTCTAATGTTGATATGTTTACAGAGTGTGAAAATGATCTTTAGTTGTGTGTAAATCAAAATAATTCTGTAAATACCTATACGGAAAAAAATCGTTTTTTTCCTGGATGTTTTTTATTGGGCAACTATCGATCGTGCATGCTTGATAAATGTTAAACATAATTATTTATTTATTATGTCTCTTAGTAATAAAAAAATGTCTAACTTTTATAATTTGAAATAAACAACAATCGATTTTAATTCTATATATAGAAGATCGAATGAAATCTGAGAGAAAATTTGTTACAATTAAATTTGATTTTGGTATATATTGAAAAATATAATTCTTCAAAAAAGTATGATTAATCTTTTCAATCTATTTTTATCATTCAATCTCACATTGCATGTGATCTTAGCCATATGTGACGTTCTTTCTTTCTTTCTTTCTTCTATAGATAGTATATTATTTCGTTTCTTTATTCTTCTTCGCAAAGCGACACAACGTTACTACTATCAATGTAATAGAAGCCAAGTTAAGTAGCGCAGCTGTTCTCCTTTTTTTCTTGTTTTATAGAGGTGATGATGACGAAGTCAACAACAATAATAATACTGGTAAGCCGTTTCAGTTTATTTCTTTTCTTTTTCTTTTCGTTTCGATCTAAGTATCGCGTGCACTCTTTTGCTTTTATTACTTTAACCTTCGTATATACAAAATCATACTATTTAGATATATATACTATTTAATGGCATCTACAAATTCCGCATCAGCTTTAGCTGAACAAAATGCTGAAGATACTTATGAACAATATGAAAAATATTTAAACGCTGGAAGGTAATTTAAATTATAATATAAAAACATAAAAGACATGTTTTATTTTTAATAGTGGCGGTAAACAACGTAGTAAAGTTGAAGTTCAATTAAACTCTCAACATCATGATGCTGGTGGTGATACAAGAAAGATTGTAAATGCCATGGCTAATAATGAAAAAAATCAAAAACAACATGAAAAGAAATAAATATTCATAAGACATTATTATTGTTTCTGTTTTTTCATTATTAAACTTATCATGATCGTTTGTCTTCATGAATTCATTGGGACAATATAAGAGATATTATCTTGTTTGTTTTTATTTTATGCAGTCTTTATCTAAATAAACATGCTTCGTTTTTTTGTTTTTGCTTCTATTTAATATCTATTTTTATATTAGTATGAAATGAGTCATACAGTACATGTACTATAGTGTACAAGTTATTATTATTATATTATAATAGCTTCTTAAAATTACGATGTTTAACGAAAATAATTTAATTTCGTTTTCGATTAGAATATAAAATCATGTTAGTGTACGAAAAATCTGAAGTTACAAATAAAATTTATTTTTTTTAATTTTTTAACCTTGTTTGAGTTTGATGTTAAACGTTGATATCAATTTGAATTTTTATATTGTTTGTGTCTTAATATGCTATAATAATGTTCATTCAATCATCATAATCAGGGGTGGCGCGACCGGGAGGTGTCGGAGGAATAACACCCTCAATCTTTCGAAAATTTCTATTTTTTGCTCAACAAAATCGGCAAATCTTCCTAAGTTTTTCACCAAAGATAATGCTACATCACCCCCTCCTCAAAACAAAAACGTGAAATTCATCTTTCTACTCCAAAAAAATTTACTACATCCTCTCAATGTTGACTGACTCACGCCACCCCTGATTACAGCTGTCATTTGATAATATTCATAGATATGCTTTAGTCAATTTCATGTTTAATATAAAAAATCTCAGTATATTTTGAAGAGTTTTATTCGTCAATGGAGAATATCATAAATAACAAAACATGACAAAATATTTTGTAGATTTATTATCACCCTAGAAAAAACTTTTAAAAATAGCTCTATATGAAAGTTGTAGTCTGATTATTACAAAATAAATTAATCAATATTAAAATGATACAGATAGTTCATCATTTATATTTTTTAATAAACTAAGAAGATAATACATCAATATCGATTGATAATGTTTTATAAAATAAAAAGTTATTTTTATGTGTCCATGAATGTTTTTTTTAATACAATTTTCTATTAATTGTCGATGATTTTTACATAAACATGATATCTTGTTTTTTTCTCTCGATAAATATTCAGTTGTAAGTTATGAAATAATCAATATAAATCATTCAAAAAAGTCATTATCATTAGCCAAAAATATTTGTGTATATCGTCGACAATACTATGACAAAGACAGGTAGATAAATAATGAAATCGAACGAATGATGTGGAAATAATGTGATACGAGAATTGGCTTGACATTAAATGTATCAATATGTAACACCAGGAAACCAATGATGGCTATTAGGAGAGAGTAAAATCCGAACAAATGTTCACCTATGAATTCAGCCAATCTTGTATTAGCTTTCAATCCATCAACAACGATAAAAACTGCGACGATCCCCTCGGGGATCCGCCCACATTTTATTAACAATGTTGCATTATCATCTTGTGATGCAAGGAATGCTTGTATCATGAACGAAATTAACGGGAATCCCATATACAGAAATATGTATATAGGATCCCATTTGAACCTATTCCAAAGCTGAACAATTGCAGTTATAATCATCTAAAACTAAATATATTTATACATACCCATGTCGAACAATCCGGCACGGAAATAACCGGTTTCGTGGTAGTCCGGAGATTTCATGAAAGCAGTATTCCAGTTGAACGGATTCGGTGACCGGATTTATCTGGTTTAGATCGGAATCGACAGGAACATGTCAAAACCAGCAGCCGGATACGGTTACCTCACTTCACCAACAGATTCCCGGCATTTTCCGATCGGGTTTCTCTCGGAAATGGCGAGTTTCCTCAGGGATTTCGCCGAAAATTCATGGAATCCTGCTTCAGGAACCATCGGTCTGGGATATTGGTTCACAATCAAATGAAAGTTTATTATGATCATCATTAAATGGAACAACAAAAATAAATACTAATAATAAAAAATCAAAATCTCGTTCAAAAATTAATAACGATCAATTACAATCACGATTAACTACAAAATCACAAATGCCATTATATAACTTACCAAAAATATCTTTACCAAGTAGATTAATAATAATTTAAAGAATTTCTTTATTGTTCATTATTATCATATATATTTAGCTAATGATACTGAACCATTAAATTCACAAGTACGTAAATTACTTTCTTCATACAGTATTGGTCAATGCTTGTTTAGTATAGATCAACTCTATGAAATAAAATAAAAAAACATTTCATTATTTTTTATTTAGGTGAAGCTGTTCCTGATCTTTCTCAAGGTACAATTAGTAAAATACTATCAAAACCTTGACCATGGCATGTATTGAGCGTAAATGGTCGTGAACCATATATACGTATGTATAGTTGATTTTGTGACACCGACAACGTACAAAAATTACTTGCTTGGAAACAAGAACGAGATAGCAAAAAAAAGTTTTTTTCAATATTTTGTCAATTCATTTGATTTCTTTTGTAGTTTTATGTCGTACTGTTCGTCGCTCAAGTATTAAAACTAGTCGTGAGCAAACTCAGCTGTTTTAACAAGTGCATTTAAAAAATACAAACAAGAAGAATGGCATGATATATGGTTGTTTCGTTTTCTTTTATTCAGTTCTTTTTCTTTTAGTTAAACAGATTATAATTTTTGTTTATATTTCGATGTTGTGTGCGCGTGCAATAAATGAAAAAGAATACAGTATATACATCTAACAAAAGAATACTAAATATCATATGATTAACCAACATTCCACCGTTTTTGTTGTATTTAACAAAAAACATTTGCGAAAGAAGTTTAATATGTGTGAAATATGATTTTGGTCATTTTTTAGATAAAAATGGATTATAAACTTATATTCTATACTGCAATAAAAGAACTCAAAGCAATATTATTATGTTTTGGATTACCTCTTATACGCTTCTTCATGCAATTTTTGATCGCCAAATATAAAACACGACAACGAAAATCCAATTTTCTTATATGCACGTCAATCGGAAGCTGTGATTTCTTTCATCTTAACCTATGACAGCACACAGCCACATTATTGTTTGGAAGAAGTAATCGGCGTATGACAAATCAAGCTCTTAATTCACTTCCTCGCTGCGACTTCATTAATTTGTGCATTGATGGACTTATTTAAATATCTTCCGTTTCTCTTAGTTAATTTTATTCACATTGCTGTATCCGCTTGCTCTTTTTATTATCTTGAGGGTGTGAATGTGAGTGTGGGTGTGGGTGTGAATGTAAATATTACCTTTGTACCACATCTACTCACATCCTCAAACAGACAAGAAAAATAAGGCGAATTAAAACTGAGCTAAGGAATAAATCGTCTAGAATAGATGATTTAAGTTGAAATAGACGACTAACGTTGTTTAATTCAACGTTATCTGAATTCATTTTTTCAGTGTGTTGGACCGCAAAGAGATGACTTAACCCTATTTTAACTTTTCTAGCGATTCTATTGGTTAGTTCAGTTTTATTTTTTCCCGTGCAAATGAGGTCATGTGCATCTTTTTTCTCTCTCCTTGTTGAAACAGAGAATGAAGAAGGGTCAACCATCGGTTTCTTTTGCCAGCTATCATCATACGGTCACATAGGTCGCCTATATACAAAGGGCACACACATTTATTTAGTTAGATTCGTTGAAAAGATTTAGCACGAAATCCAAAACTATTCCAAGCAAATGTACGTAGTTATATCAACAAATGTGTAGCATATTTTTATTGATTTTGTTTATAGAGTAGAATAGGTACGAGCTAAATTTAGAGAAGCAAAGATAGCCATGGTCCTCAAGGGTGCATCTTTACTTCAAATCATGCTCTTAAACTGATGGTGTATTGTACACACACAACATTGAGTGAGGCGAGAGTGTTGTAATTGATGTGATTAAAGTAAAGATGTTCCATCAAATTTAAGCAAATAATAAATGAGTAAGATGATGCTCGTTAATTTTTCTTATTTCTTTCGCTATCTGCTTTGTTGTCACTATAACTATGTTCAAATTCTTAATTTAGTCATTTCTAAACCGATAGAGCGTTCAAAATAATTATAGAACATTATCAAACTGAAAAATTCTTATATCAAGCACAGGATTTTACTACATGAATGGATGGAAAAATAGTAAAATCTAGAAGCAATAAACATGATAGTAGATCAAAGCAAAGATCTTCTCCTTTATTCTCACTCGTACACTCATACCATTACGTGCATCTATCACTTTCGATATTTTTATTCTCAACGTTTTTCCATTTTACCTTTATATCTACCGTTGTTATTCAATCAACATTTATGAGACACTGAATTATAAAGGAACATTGTTCTATTAAATTTTTATTTTTTCTTTCACTGATACTTTCCTCTTGTATTATGTAAAGTTGAATATGCCGTTTGCCGATGAAAAAAAGCTTAGAGTTCTAACTATGATTCGATATGTATTCAAAACTTACTCAAAGCGTTGCGAGTGTCTTAGATAATCGAAAGAGAAAAACATGAATAAGTGATCGAAACATTTTCAATCGTGCTTTCTCGCTACTAAACACATTAGACAATGCGTGAATTGAAAATTGCAACTATTACTTAACTATCATTGTCTATCGCTTGGCTACTTGAGAATTTACACTGTACTTAGCTGTTCATTTTTTGAGTATACCTTCCAAATGTTTATTATTTCTTAAAATATATCACCATAACAAGTGGAAGTAATGAAACGAGTTTTGAATTGGTCAGAATTGTTCTAACCCTTATATAAACATTATTTTGCAAGAAGCGTGCACTCTTCAATACATTTAGTAAAACAAAATATACTCTATGAAGATCAATCTTTTTAGTAAAATAAACATGTTAACAACCATATCATTTCGTGTTCAACAACAACAAGAACATGCATCAAAATCAAACATTGGGACAAACAATTTTCCTCAACACTTCGGGTATGTTTATCGTATCAATCGCTATCACGACTAGATGTAAGAGTATAGATAAAAGAGATTTGATGCTTCCTATTTTGTTTGTGTCTGTGATCCCTATTAAAGTTTCTGTAACAGAGAGTTTAACTACCATATAGAAGTTTATCTTTGTGTTAGTAATAACTCGCTGATGTTAGCATAGCTATTTCTATAGAATTATAAAATGTTTACAGTCGTGTTCAATAAACTCCCAGAGTGTTCTTATTTAAAATAACAGAATGAGTTACAGCTCACAATGTCTGTTGAGGCTGAAAAGCTGCTGCGACCATATTCATTTTAATATTGGGATGATGAGAAAAATGAAGCGTCCGCGACACGTTTGAAAAATAACTTAACCGCACCACAGAGATATCATCACTTTTGTAGTTAGTATAGTAATTCTAGGTATATACGTTTTATGAAGGCCAACATTTATGAAAAGAGAAAAAGGATAATAAAAATGAAATTACTTTATAAATAACGAAGTAAATATGATGTAGAGAATTGTTTCATGTCCATAATAACGAACCTGCGATTTATCACTAACTATAATCTGACGAGATAATTATTTTGTTCAATAGAACAGTGAAATAAAAGCTCTATTTGATAAATAATAATACCTCATTTATTTTTTCAAAAATGCGTTGTCAAAAGTTCTACACTAGTTGTGTATACAACTTTGCAAAGAAAAATGAAAACGTCGTCGATATATTCCTATTCCTTTGATTACAGAGGGAAATCGCAGCGCCATATAGTTTTTCATGTTTTATCTTTCAAAAGACAAATCAAGATTTTATCATTTTCTCAAGTCGACATGTAAGGAAAAGAAAGAGTCTCACGACACCTTTACCACACTGGATATATCGACAACAAGTTCAACCAATTACTAGTATTAATTTTAGTTGATTTTACGATAAAATTAGGTAGAAAACTTCTTCAATATGAATGAAGTGATAACTTTTCATTCACGTTTGTTTCTTTTTCTGTCAATACATGTTGCGATTAGTAAAAAGTCTTATATTTTCAATACAACATCCTTTGAGAAAAATTGACTCATTAGTATTTTCTCATTTCAGAATTAGATATACCTATGAAATGGGTGAATTAACTGTTTTTACTATTGTAAATTTGTTTTATGTGGTCATATTGCTAGTGTGGGACAGATTCACCTGTAGTTAAACTAACGACTCTTCATTAATGCAAACTGAGAGCACGCAACTAATTCGAAGTGTTTATACAAATTGAACATTTGTGAAACTAGCAATGACGTAGTATTTGTCTTTTCAAGAAACTATTTCTTAGATAAAACAGTACATATAAACAAGGTGAAAAAATGAAAAATCGAAATTTTAGAAGAAACATTATCAATCATCCACGTTTCATCATCATTTTTGTTCGACAAAATAAAGATGATATTTATGAAAAGAAAGATTGAAACATAATCTAGAGAATAGTTCCGCACATAGATGCAAACATCTACTGTTTAAATAATGCTTTTCTTGATTTGTTTTCAGGTTAAAAACGCGTATGAATCAAATGTTCGATTGGTGTAATAAAGTTCGTGGTATACATGTGCGGATATTACTAGCTTGGATGCTTTTTAGATATTGGCTATTTACAATGGACAACAGTTCAGCAGAGATGTTTGAATTACAGTGGCATAGGATTAATGGATCCTTACTAAAGAATGAACATTTCTATCGCGACTACGCTAGTAAGTATATCCGATTCATTCATTCATTCATTAGAAAAAAATATAAGTAGACATGAGCGAGATCACTTTGTTTATCTCTACATGTAAGAGACTATTCCTTGCAGAAGATCATCTGTTGTAGTAAGTATGAGGTAAAGTGAAAGTCAGGAAAATGAGACTAACTGTTCAGTTGATCAATGAATTACTTTCGTTGAACTTTCATACTATTAATAAATGTTTCTTACTTTGTCTCTTTACAGACGAATGTTTACTGTGGCCACCTTTATTGTCATCAGTAATTTCTATTGACAATATGTATAGTTACAAGCTCATGATATTATTAATCGCCTTACTATCTTCTGTACCCTACCTTTTCATGGTACAAGAGGAATCAACATTTCGATCTGAATCTGATGTTCCACTAGAAGATCCTTATATGTGGTTTTGTTGGTGTCGTAAGACACTTATTTATCTTATCGTTCAGTCTATATTCTACCAACTGCTTACTGCACTAACATGTCGACCGATGAAAATTGTCTATGATTTACGATACATGTCAATGCTCATCATACAAATCACCGGCTTTTTCATTTGTCTATCGTTTACCTTTTTCCTCGGTGTCAAGTATGCATCAATTAAGACCATACATCGATTATCAAAATGTTCTGTTAAAGTTATCTTAGTGTAGATTAGAAACATTTATTAGAAATGTTATTTTTCTTTGTTGTTCAATATTACTCTACGTATTTAAAACTTGTTAGTTGAATTACTTTAATCAAAATATTTATAATCATTTAGTCAAGAAAATTTTTTCATTTGATATACATTAAATGTGATATGTGAAAGAGAACTTTAAATTTCATTTATTTGTATGAATTGTGAAGGCGAGTATATTTTTCTACAAAAATATCAAAGGCTCTTCAAATAGTATAGAAAACATAGTGTTTCCATTAAACGTACCTAACCCTAGTACTACCAAGAGGGGTCATTTTTGACCCCACACTGTCAAATTTTCATACAATAAGGATATTTTATTTTCTCGAAGTTTAAAACGTCTACGTGATATTATGAATGAAAATGCTTTTGTATCTTCATACTTTTTAAATTGGTATTGGTGGACAGACACAAATAGTACTTGTCTAATAATTCTAATTAGTCCAATAATAACGAAAGATGGATGTTCATCTGGAATACAAAGTGATTGTATTGATTCAGGAGGAATTTATTATAGTTTAGAGTATATTAAAGTATCTGAAGTATTTGCAATGCCTGATGGCATATTGGATGTTCAGTTATAGAAACATTATTGCAATCAACATTTGAATGTTTATATTCAAATATCTATTCCAATTGAATAGATAATATATCAAAAAACAAATGAAATGGAAAGTAGTTTAATGAAGACTTAAGAATAATTTTTCTTTCCAGTATTGTAGATATATAGTTTGGTTCAGTATGGAAAAATCCACTAAATTCCTAGAGAATGCATGATAGAATATATAGAATTCAAAAATCGAAATGTTTGATCATAGCACATTAATCAATAAACTCTCGTTTAGTATCATTGTTACAATATAACACAAGTATCATATAGTTGAGCTTTTATTGCTAGATATTTTTATTTTCGTCCCTTTGTAAGTTCTCTCTCATTATACTAAAACTCAATTGTTTGATGCTTGAGTATTGAAATAGAAAAAGTAAAATGAAAAGATCCAATTCATTAAGCGAATTCATTAATGTACATTCTTGCTTAAAATAAAAAACATATGTTAATAAAATGAATCAACTCGATGATCATATAACTTTTCATGTCCAATGAAAAATGTGCGCTACAATCAATTTCATACTTTGTATCGATTAATTAATATTATAAGACTTTTTTTAGACATTCATTCGATTTCTTTTATTAAATAGTAAATAATTTTTATTTTTTTATTATTTTATTTAATGAGTCTTATTGTTTGTCTATACTCTATGGTAGTCATGGTTATAACAATCAAAAATGGTCTCTCCATATTCACATAGGCATACGAAATGAGTTTAGATTACATTTCTTGAATTATAATAAAGTGTCAAGTATTGTGTCAATAAATAAAACAATAGTTACTATATTTTATTTCGTAATCATATATTTTTAAAAAACTATGGCTCAATCTGGTATTTTATCTGTCAAACAAATAATTGGTGTTCGAAGCTCTGTTACAAATGGTTTAGCATTTCAAGATGAGCAAACTGTTGTTTATATTGCTGGTGGAAATATTGTGTTATATGGTATTGATCAAAAAGCACAAAAAGTGATTCCATGTTCCATCAATGCTCAAGGTACATTTAATTATACTAATAGATCCATTCATTTGTTTGTTTGTTTTTTTTGTTTCTTAGCATTAACAACAATGACTGTTAGTCCTAATCGACGTGTTATAGCTGTTGCTGAACGTATAAATGATCATCCATCAGTAACAATTTATGATCTTCAAACTGGTAAACGAAGAAAAACTTTACAACCCGAAACAATGAAATCTACTGATATTGTTTCATTACTTTTTTCATCGGATTCAAAATATTTATTGACTCAAGGTGATGCACCAGATTATCAACTTATTTATTGGTCATGGGAAAAAGGAAAAGTAATGGCAAGTACTGATATTAAACCAACTGCAGGTTCACAACCAACTGCATCAGTTAATCAGGTTAGTTAGTTTTCTCATTTTAATCATATATTAAATATATATATGTATATTTAGGTATCATTTAATCCTCAAGATAATACACAAATATGTGCAACTGGTCATGGTTTATTTAAAATGTTTCGTTATACAGATTCAACATTGAAACCATCTCAAAATTTAAAACAAGAACATTTTAATTTTACATGCCATTGTTGGATATCAGATGAACGATTATTAGCTGGTACAGATCAAGGAAAATTACTTGTTATACAAAATGGAGAAATTTTACATGAAATTAAAGTTGATACAAAATCTGATTCAAGGTTAATATTATTATTATTATTTTTTTCCGTAAAGAAATTGTTTCTTTTTAGATCAGTAACAAGTCATTATTCAATGGATGAACGTTCAGGAGGAAATGAAAGTAGTATGGATATAAATGCAGATGGTGATCATGTTGGAAAATCTGAAATAAAATGTATTGTACCATATTCACGTGGTGTTCTTATAGCTGCTGGTGTTAATAAAGTTTATATGTTCGATCGAATAGATGACAATCGAGAATATTATCGACGTAATCGAGAAATTTTATTACCTAGTGATACAACGGATAAAATAACTAATGAACGAATAGTTTCAATGTGTTTAAGTCCATCAGAAGAAACACTTATTGCGTTAACAGATCATCAACAAATTTATCAATTATCATTTTCAGGAATTGATATTACAAAAGTAAGACGAAATTATTTCAATGAGTATGATATATTTTTTTTGTGTTCAGGATGTAGCCACTTTTTCATACTTAGCAGATGGCTACCATCATGCTCAAGTCACTGGTGTTGATACATGTATTCGAAAACAACTTATTGCTACTTGTGGTGTTGATAAATCAGTTCGAATTTGGAACTATGAAACAGGGTAAAGAAACATCGCCTAAAATCTCTACAGTAATATATTGTGACTAGACGGGG